TTTTATATTAACAGTATATCAGATAGTGGCTCACTGTGTGAATCTAATGTTATTTTATATTAACAGTATATCAGATAGTGACTCACTGTGTTGACAAATAAAATTCAAGTTCACATTACAGTCTGTGTCTGACCAAAGCCAGCCTCTACTTCCATCATATGCCGAACAGTTCTGATTGGTTACAGGAAGGTTCCAGAACGATATAGTGACGTCATTACCTGAAAAGTGATTCAGAACATTCGTATTGAGAATTAAGTATAATACATGAAACAGCCCAAACATTCCCTCAATATGTAAGATGTTTTATAAATTAACAAAAACAGTGTTATATTAACTATATTGGTCCAGCAGGTACCTCACAACTTACCGTTAATCCATTTCCAGTTCTTGGGTTCTCGTGGGTCTCGGACAGCACCCATCCAGAACTTGGGTGTTGGACGATTTTTGTGCCGACGATACATTTCCCAGCTCAAGAATCCCTGTAGGGCCGGACTTGTTTCATCCACAAGGGACCCTCCACGGACTTGACACAACTCACGTGCTTGCGTGAAAGTCTTTGGTTGGTTGTCATAAAAAATATAACATTTTCCATTGTAAGTTGAAGTGCCCCCTAGTGGCTGGTCCCTGAATGACGGGCATCTCTCAATGGGAATTGCTTTAAAAAAAACAGTATGTTTACTTAATTGAATTCATTGCGGAGTGAATTTTCAATTCTGATGAGGTGGGTAAGTTGCTTTGACCAACGGTCAACGATAATATCTTTAAAAGCTATATTTTTAATTAATTTGTTTGTTAGAGGGAGCTGTGTCGAAAGGTTTAATAAGATAGAGTTAAGTAAATAAGGGGCTGGCTGAAACACTGAGAAGATAGTTTAAATATGTAGTAGAGTTGTTTCTAGCTGGTAGAGTGAATAAATACGTTTTCATTTTCAGCTGTGAAGTGGTACAAGTTTATTTATTATGTTAGTGTGGTACAGTTAGAGTTATACCTAAACATGGCCTACAAGTTCCACAATGTACAAGCTTTTAAACTGTTAAGGAAAAAATAAACTAATTTGTTGTCATTTATGTGGACTGGATAATTTAAAAGAACCCGCCAATGAAAGAACAGCAATACAATAGTGGTGTCAGAAGTGGAATTATTTTTTTTGGTGAAATAAAAATAGAATTTTAACTGTTGCAAATGACGACTACGAGATCAAGTAGTAAGATTTAATTGTTACTTGAGATGAAGGAATTATTCGGATAAAAGCAAAAGAAGACCAAAAAGAAAGTAGGTTAGAAATGTATAAATATATATATATATGTAAAATATTTGAGTCCTTCTGGATATATGCTGGGGATGTGTTAATAATATAGGGAAACGACATAAAGTAACATTTGTTGCCAATAACTTATGTTCAACAACAACAACAACAAACTAGGCCTTACCTCTGTCCGAGTAAACGAAAACTTCGCAGATCGACAGTGGCTGTCCACCTGGTGTTTCTAGGTGAACACTCACAAAGGCACCAGGAATGGAGGTCACACAAGGAAGATAAAGTGGACGACCCTCCTCTGAAAAAGTTTCATTTTATTATTGTTCAACTGCCACGAATCACAATTAACACACTCTACGACATAAACAGGTAAAATGTAAATAAAGTTCACTGATATGAAACTTACCAATAAAACCCGTAAACTTGTTGCAAATAGGGTTTACACCAAGATCAGGTCGATTATTGCCCACACGCACCACAACTGTTGCTTCTTGACCATTTGCTGTTGATGAAATGAAAACAAAAAGGATTATAATGTTATTATACAGTTGTGAGGACTTATTACAATAACAGTCACAATTGTAATAAGAATTTGTAAGTGGTTTTACGTAATATTACTTTATTTTAAATAAATTTTGGTTAAGCTGTTAAGTTGCCACATGCACCTGTCTTGGGGGAGGGGTTTCAAGTTTTGGAATATCTCATTAACAAGGGTAATGTAACAGCAAATGCTCAGTTTTTTTTTTTTGGTGAAACCGTGAGTTAAAGGGCCAGACCCCACCACTAACTCTATTATGATTACTCTATTCAAATAGGCATTTGACCATAACCCTTATAATGCCCCAATGGCCCCAAAGTGCGAAGTGTGTTTTTTTTTCTTCGGTTAGGGACACAAGCCATGGATCTGATCCACTTTCATTGAAGTATTTTCATAAATGAATGAGATGCTCCAAAAAAATTGCGAGAACCCCCGAGTATGTATTGGACCTACCTTAATTCTTAGTGGCTGCTAATACGGTCAGCTTTCAGCTTTTAAACGATGCAATATTTACTATTTTTGGGGGAAGTCGTAGCAGTAAATGTCAGTAAAAACAGTTTACATTCATAATGTACAAATAACCTAGAGTAAAGAAAGTTGGAACTTACAGCAACAGGCCATTCCAAAATCTACTCGCACCAGCTGAATCACGTAGACCTCCAGCAAATTTACATACCACCAGGGGGCTCTTTCTCTCTCTGTCTTCGTCATCGTACAAGTGCGAAAGTCAAAGAAAGTGCTTGTGCTGCCATCTACAGCCTTCTCTGGTACACCTCTTCCAGCCACAGAAGACTGCATTGGTGCTTTTCCGGTGGCAACATTAAGAACTGGAAAATAACCTCACACATTAATGAAACACATCTCTATTGTACACGTATCTCATTAGTAACTCTTATTAAAATATTGAATGTTAAAAGTTTTAAAGTAATATTTGTTGGATGTTTCTAGTGTGGTCACAGAAGTGGAAGTTATCAGGGTCGCTTACGTTTCAGTGTTATCTGACAAATTCTCCCTAGTTCAGACCCGAGTTAAACATAGCCATGGAAGTGGAAATCAGGGTCGCTTACGTTTCAGTGTTATCTGACAAATTCTCCCTAGTTCATTCCCAAGTTAAACATAGCCATGGAAGTGGAAATCAGGGTCGCTTACGTTTCAGTGTTATCTGACAAATTCTCCCTAGTTCATTCCCAAGTTAAAGATAGCCACGGAAGTGGAAATTATCAAAGTCGCTTACGTTTCAGTGTTAACTGACAAAGTCTCCCAAGTTAAACAATAAGTTTAACGACACAGAACTTAAATTACAGTTCTAGGGAAACAGTAGCTGATCCCATGTTAGTTGTCATGTCACAAAAGCTGCAATACCACACGCGCGTGGGTCACTGCTTTCTCACCGTCACATAACTTAAAACATCTGATACTGAAAAACACTCTCTCTCTTCCTTAAAAACGTCACGGAGTGAAATCACTAAATGGAACAAATGGAAAGACAACAATTGGGAAAGAAAAAACCATCCCCCTCCAAAAAAAGAACAATAATAAAAAAACACGCAACCGCTGGGTTGTTATTGTAAACTAAACACATACCACGTAGTATA